AGACTTTTAAGGATTTCTGATACCATCCATTAGCTATAACCTGTACTTGGAGTACTATTGGGAATAATAAACATCAACATTGTTTCTATGCCAATTGGTAACAGAACTGTCTCTAAAGCTGTTTTCTCAGTTCTAATGCTATGACATGCCACATGAGACCCAACTTGCAGCTGTTCTGCAATAGAAACAATCAGGGATTTTTTTTCCACTGGGTTTCAAGCTTCTTTCTGCTTGACTGGTAAATAAAAGATAAACACTATACATGTTACATGGTTAGACTGTTCAAATGAGATATGGGGGAGGTACCCCAGAGCAGGCACACTCAGCACATATTCTTGACTTATCACTGGATCAACATTCAGCATTTGCAGGGAATATGGGAATTTCACATTTCTCTAATTTCTCTTGCTCACAGATGCAATAACAAATAAAAGCTTTAGGCAGTAACGGTAACAGAAAGGCACACAACAGTAGGGAAACATGCTCCATTTTTTATCACCAAGACGTTTTTCCCCTCCTAGTTTGGGCCTCAGACCTTCCCATGTTTTGTAGCCTGGGGGGAGCAGTGATAGCAGACATGTGGTGTGAAGACAGCCTCTTATAAAAACATGTCAGTAACTAGCTTAAAGATAAAGTTGAGAAAAAGCAAACAATAAGTAACTACTTCTGATATGAGCTGAGACTAGCATGTGCTAGGAAGCAAAATCTGTGTGTCTGTACTGAAGAAGATGCAGGGTTGGGACCTCTCAGCCTTTGTCTTCCTCAACACTTTCATCCCAGCACTAGTAGTTAGAACTGAAGGAGTCAAAATTACCTCCACAGCCTGGACGAGAAACACCATATTTTAGTACTGGTGATAGTGGCCCTGTCACAAAGGATTTTTTTTTTTCCTTCCCTTTTCCTCATAGTCTAGCTACAGGCAATGATTTCTGACAGCAGATCTTAAACTCTGTCAGAAGTTGCTTTGTCTAACAGCCTGAGTTGGGGATCACATTCCCTAAGTGGTTTCCTTCATCACGTGTGGTGTGGAATGCTGTTTCCCCAGAGAAAGTGGTACTTTTGTCTATCCGCAAGCTGCAGACAGCTCCTGAAGTGAAAGGTCAGACAGGAAAGTAACATCTGCAAAGCCACCATTTTCCTTCCAGTGACTCCCAGGAAGACTTGAACGGCGTAAAGAAGTCCAGTAGATCAAATGGAGAACAAGGATGGACATTTCTACCCAAGGTAGCTGGGATGTGACAACTGCAAGGCAGACAAGTCAGTAAGTAGGACGTTTTAGGCAAGCTGTGTTACAGAGGCACAGCAGAAAAAGCAGCAGTGGGAAGCGCTGCCACTGATCTTTGGCAGGGATCCCTCGCCACTTCTCTCCCAGCACCGCTTCCCCCAGACGCACTGGAAACTGAAGGGGTGTAAGCGAGAGTAAGCAAGGGAGGAGGGGCAGGGAAAGGACACCGCTGCTTGGAGCCACCTCTGGGGGCCTCAGCCGGCAGTGGCGGGCGGGAGCCCCGCGCCCCGCAGTCCTCGGCCGCTGCCCGGCTGCTC